CCCGACTAATCCGGACCCGACTCGCGTCGCGCACCTGGAAATGGTGGGTGAATCTCCCAGCGAGGACTGCTGCATTCACAAGGTCTCGAACTCAAGACCTTGCTTAAGCTGGAACAAGTCGCTTACCACATGATCCAACCCCTCGTCGGTGACTGCATCCTTGTTGCCACTGCAATTTATGTTTTATTTTTTTGGGCCAAAAGACTTGGGCCTCTAGACTTGGGCCTTAGTTCCGTTATTTAGGAGGCCCATTCAGTTTTTGGTTATTAGGCCTTCCGACCAATACCGAACCAAAAGCCTATCGGTTTTTCATCAAAACCAACCTCAAATTCACCAAAACCAATTCTTTCCAACCAAATTCACTTTTTTTATTCGATTTTTGATTAACCATTCGGTTAACCAACCGGATGCCCACCCCGGCACTGCCATATTTATTTATTTTTTTTGACCAATTTTGAAATTATTTACAGTGTTAATTTGGGGAGAGGGAAAAGGGGTTCCGTGGGGCTCAAACATGCAATCCACGGAGGTGAACAACCTTAACCCAGGGCCCAAAGTCACTGGATCGGAGCAAGCTGTTCGGCACTGCCATATTTAATTGGTTATTTAAGATAAAAAATAAAAAATAAAAAAGCAAGCAAGCAGAAGTTGGATGAAAAAGGTCATCATTGTGGGAACCTCTCCATTGATGTCAACGGGATTTGATGGGGGTGGGTGCACGTATCTTGGTCATTTGGTCCACGATATGGGGCTAGATATTATCTTCAATTTTCCTGCACTTATTCAGTAACCAAACACAGAGAGGGCATGCAATTAATTTTGATCGCACGCCAAAAACAGAAACCCAAAATCAATTTGCTTAATACATTTACCTGTGGTTGAGAGGAAAAATCAGCAGTTAGTGATACCCTTCGTCTTGGTCGTTGTGGACCTTGACTTCACCATCCCCAAACCAACACACAAACTGGACCTTGAAAACGGCAGCACTTATGAAGACGACGAGTTAGCAGGTGCTTTATCACTTTCCAGAGAAAAGGAGGGATCCGAAGATCATCTATGGTCTGAGTAGAAGGAGGATCAGAAGGGAGAAAGAAGAAGGAAGAGATAAGGAAGGAGAAACAAGGAATTAGAGGAAGAGAATTCTGTATTTTCATTGACTGAAAATACCAAGATACAGAATACCCTTTTATACAAGAACTATGTACAAAACTATAAGCCCAAAATACAATGTTCTATAGCAATGGCAATCACTAAAAAACTGTAGTTATTCCCCTACTAAATGGACACGTATCAACTGCCCTCCTCTCCAAATAATCCTTTTCCTCAACGATTAGAGTTGAATTCAATAAACCATCAAAGAATCTGAACTTGGTTCCTATGAAAGTCAGCCACAAGAAGACATGTTGTTTAATAAGCTCACTACAAGAATGCAAGCATAAGAGCGTCAACATTTTAAGCATCCACCATGAAATATTGACGCAAATATATGTTAGTTGCGTCAACATTACTCATGCAAAAAATGTTTGTCGCAGAAAAACTTTTCAATGTCAACTAAAATACATTAGTGTAAGCATTATTGATGCAAATAAGATTAAAATTAAGTTTGATGTACACCAGTTCATTGTAGTCAACATTTCAGAAAATTTATAAAAATGGAAAAAAGCTACTAAACTACTAAACGAATAAAATCTTATTGATATGGTACTATTTCATTGTACCATATTCTTCAGACTTCAAAGTTGTTTCAATGGAGTTGTGGGGGTCAATAACTTTTTATATTACATCAAAACATGGATTGATACAAATTATTGGTGTTGCCTTCAAAACCAAATCTGGGTTTTCTTGCCTTGCATTTTGCTAAACATCTTATTTACTACTACTCCTTTCTCTTTCACGAAAGTAATGCGCTACAACAAGTTTATCTTAAAGTTCAACCACACATTTATTGAAGTTTAGTATCACAAAAGAGATAAAAAAGTAAAAAAATCATTTTCTTTAAAAGTCTTTTAGTTTTTTTCTCAATTTGCATGCTATCTATTCCAGATCTAGCTGTTATGTCTTTTTTTTTTTTTCTTTGAAATTATAAATTCACATATTTAGTTTCTAGAAAAGAGATAAAAGAGTAAAAAGATCATTTTTTTAAAAGGTTTTTAATTCTTTTACTAAATTTGCATGTTATATATACTGTACCTAAGTCTGTCTTTTTTTTTTTTTTTTGAAACTATAGATTTAAGTGTCTAATCTCTACGAAATAAACAAAAGAGTAAAAAGATTATTTCTTTAAAAGTTTTTGTTTTCTTTTCTCTGACTTTTTTTGGGTAAAATTTTAGCTAATAATTCACTCTTAACTGCAATATCCAATTATTGCCACCAATTGTGTTCCATCATTTTGTGTCTTGATTTGTTATTCTACTTTGTTAATTTGAATTGAGGTTAGTTAAATTTTATGTTTTAATTTTTTTATATAATTGATATTTAATCTAAAGATTTTAATGTATTTAAATATGCTTATTATTTTTCTTTTATCATAATTTCCATTTTTATTAGTATGATTTTTATCTTTCTCAATTTGTTAATTGATTTTGTTGTTGTTTTTTTTAGGTGTATCCGTCCCTCTCAAATCATTAATTTCCCCTTGATGATTTGTGAATTACAAGTTTACTCGAAATGTGAATTACAAGTTTACTCGAAATACAAATATGTTGTATAAATTTTTTCCTTTATTTTTTAGAAATTTAGTTTAGAAAGAGTTAAAAAAAATTATGATATTTGTAATTAGTAAAGTATGATTAATTGATTAATTGATTAATTAAGGAGAAATATGACTAAATTGTGTAACCAATTGATAGATTATAATTATAGTGATTAATTGATTGATTAGTAAATTATGATTATATTCCGTAATTAATTGATAAATTATTAATATAGTGATTAATTTATAAATTGTGATTATATTCTTGAATTGATTAATTTAGTGATTAATAAATGATAAATATAATATTTAATTATAAAAACACTATAATTAATTAAATTTATTAACTGATTAAAAATGATAATTAATTATAATTTTTATAATTGATTGATTAGTAAATCATAATTACATATTTAATTGTTAAGTAAACTATGATTAATTTAATCAATTTATTAATTAAATCAATTAATTGATTATAAAATTTTGATTATATTATTTTATTGATTGGTAAA